AGCACGCTCACCGTCACGCTGCACACGAACGAGCCAAATGTGAGCGCTCAAGTCGCGATTAAAACAAGTAGGATAAAAATTGAAGCAGATAAACAAACAAAGTCAAATGGTAGGATTGATGGGTAAATATACAAGGGGAGTGGAACGTCAAATGTCTATATGTATGTGAGGCGGATGAGGTTTGGTGAATGGAACGTAAAATTCACGAAATGTGGAACCGAGATGGAATGACTGGGCTTTACAGGAAGGATTTTCACAGATCGATCAATACAACGGCAACCAGGTAATTATGCCTCTCATTTCTAATGTCAACAACCCATTTTAGGCTGCAAAATATCGGTTGTCTAACATTTGTTGGAATTCGCGCGGTCCAGATGGAGAATCGAGTGATGAAACGTTGTCTAGTGCACAACCATGACTTTCATGTGGGTCAGCGGGGTCTGTATATAAGTAATCGTCGTCTATCTGGAGAGCAGGAAGAAGTGTGTACTTTGATGAACGATTTTAGAAGTACGCGCGAGCTAAGGGATTTCGCCACACACAGGTTCCAGAGACCCTGAATTACGGTAGATATAAGGTCCATACATCGAAGATGGTCCCAGTCGGATTCACGTGGCGTTGCGGTGAAAGTTAGGGATATGCTGGAGAATCAGGGAGAGGTTAGAATAGGGCTGAACCAAGGCGTCGTTAGGCACATTTATTTTGTTCCTAAGATTAGGCTGCACTGCGTCTCCAGGTTTAATGATGTTTTGTTAGCGGATGCCACACATTAGCTAAATTGTGGCGGGTACGTGCTTTGGTATGCTATGCTTGTAGATAACACCGTTTTAGGTAGAAGTTTCTTCTACTCTACCGAACACACAGCAGTTGCGCTGCTTACAGTGCAAAGGAAGCATACGTTTGTGTGCATTGCCTCAGTCGATGAGCGTGGACGTCAAAAGCCCGAAGTGACTGAAACCGGCCCTTTTAGGGCTACGCTTATTTGATTCATTTGTCTTTGGATAATGAATTCCGTTCAGTAACCAAGATATTGGTATAGATTCTATTTGAGACCGGACTTTATAGGGGCATTGCCTACTTCGTTGTCAAGCCAATTCTAAGGTGGAATGACATCGGGGATGAGAGAAAATTAGCTCATTATACCACGGGCACGCCATTTCAAGAGATTCATGCTATGTATCAGGAATATCTTTTGACAGTTATATGGAAGGTGCAATTCCTAAAGATTTGGTATGGGTAAATTTCCCTCACGAGAACTCGTTAATTTATAATAAAGAATTATTATTTTTTAAGTTAAATAAATTTCATTTCATTGTTTTGGTTGTTGGCTGTCTTATTTATATATTTATTTTATTTATATTATTTATATTTTATATATATATATTATATACATATATATTTTTTATTTATATTTAGGGTCTGTATTAAGCGAAATAATTTTTGAGCAACAGTGGTTTACAGTTGGGATTTTTTTCATGGCTTGGAGAACGGGGATCGATCAAATGACCTTCAACTTTTTGAATCAAGCCGCGTTCGGATGCTGCGCGCTTACTTGTGTCTTGTGTCTTTTCACTTCCACACGATCAACGTTTGGCATTTTTACCGTGTCCAGAATGCACCGTTTTCATTTTTCTTCCCTGATTGAACTCAGTTCTAGATGACAAACCCATCGACATGTGTACACGTTTTCATTTCTTACATTTCCGCCTCTGTGACTTTTCGTCTTCATATCTCCTTATCCACACAACTATAATCTGTCAGAAACGTGCTACAATGATCACCTTCCCTTTTTTAAATTTCCCGAATGAACAAAATTCTCCACTGACCGTTTTGTATTTATCGATCTGCAAAAGTGGCTGTCCCGAGTCGACCTCTGTGGTTCTTGGACGAAGTTACCGGAAGATTGGACGAGGGGCAGAGAGTAGATGTATTTTATCTCGACTTCAGCAAGGCTTTTGATTGGTCAACCAACGCCTGCTATTAGTCAAAATAGAGGCGCTCGGTAAAAGCGGACAAAACCACCAATGGCTGAGAGGCTTCATCACTAACAGGACCTTCTACGTCAAAGTAGGTGACAATTTGTTCTTGTACAGCATCCGTCGCAAGTGGTGTACTACAGGGTTCCGTGCTAGGTCCGTTGTTGTTCCTACTATTCGTAAACGATCTTCTGCTCTGCTGAGATCGCCCACCTTTTTCTTCGTCGACGATGTCAAGGTGGTTGGATCTAAAGGAAGAGAGCACCTAAACTGTGACATAGCTGCGGTCCTCAGCTGGGGGCAGAAGTGGGACGAACGTAGGTCTGAACTTGTTCCTGAAAGGCAGGTCTCACCAGCTAGAGACTTAGCAAAACAAGAGGATTAGGAGCGGGTTACTCAGTTTGCATGTTTTTGTTTTCGCTCGGTCATGTATTGGGATGTAGCCTAGAAGAGGAACTCTCACGTATAACAATCTCTCGCTTGGATGTGAGATGAGGCATCTTTCCCTTCCTCTTTTCAGCCAGGAAGTGACGGACCACCTTTTGCAGTGGTGGGTACCATACTTGACCGCGTACCACCGAAGGAATTCTGGACGCTCGATTGACCGCTTCTATTTATTCTCTACATAAACGACTTGCCAAGCACTTTGACATCATTATGCTACATTTTCGCAGATAACGTCAAAGTGGTTGGTTCCAATGGGAGAAGTGATCTGGAGCGGGATTTAGAGCAGATAGCTAGATGGGCAAAGGAAAGGGACCTACGTCTTAACGTTACCAAGAGTCATGTGCTCACAGGGGCACGTGACACAACGGTAGTTCTCTCTGAAGAACACGAATTCGCCGTCGAACCCGCTACTAAGGTTAAGGAATCCACTCGCCAACTTCGTGAGTTGAGATTTTATTTCTCATTCTTATTTCAGCAGTGCTGAATGCTCACGTTGTGAGCATACCGTCGAAGTAATTCTGGACGCTCGATTGGCTGTGGCCATATTCAGTGCTGTGCAACCTGACCAGACCTGGCGTTGGCCATTTTCTGTTGTGTGCAACCTGACCTGTGGTGACCTTGACCGCGCGTGCTTCGAATTTCGGAGTGGAGCGTTCCGCTGTAGAATAAGGC